CTGCTCTGCAGCAATATCTCTTCAATCCTAACGTTGATCCAGGGTAAGGAATGAAGGATTGAGAATCTGGGTTGGCGACCTCCCTAGAAACCTATAAGGAAAAGCTTGGGAGTTTCTGAAATCAGGGCCCCCTCCCATATACGCCTAAATCTAATATAACTACCATCACAAGGACACCCCAAAGAGGGGACCCTTCAAACAACTTGAAGGCCAACCCAGGAATAGTCAGTGAAGTCTTCAAGACGTCTGCACCTGGAGCCCTTTAGGGTTTAGGGTTTCGGGAGGAAGGTGTAGGGGGGTATAAGGATTAGATGAGGACCAAGTAAGCACTGAGTAGCTCTTAATTGATCCCCTACCCCTACACCTCTCCACACCCTCTTCCACACCCCATATGATTGTATGGGCTTCAGTGGTCTGGGGGTTTAGGCTCCTGGGAGGCTTCATGTTTAGGTGTTTTCGGGGTTTGGGGTCATTCAGGCAACTTTTTCCTTCAATGCATGCTTGTCAAGACCTTACTTAAGCTTTGGGAATCCGAGAAGCCGAAGCTCCCGTCCCCAACTTGCATCCCAGCTTGTTATCGGGCCTGCGGTAGGGTTTAGGAGGAAAGCTATGCCCAAACCTATCCCAGCTACCATTGAGACACTGACAAGTCTTGCCGATTCTATGGAAGAAAACAAAAAAAACTTGCAAATCTACCCCAGATACCATTGAGACACGGCTGACAGGATGAACTGCCGGTCATAGTCGCTGGAGCAGGATGCGGCACTCAAGTCAAAGTGAGCCAAATGTGCGAACATCTGCTCCTGTTCCTGGTACCTGGGCTTTTCTCAGGGTTTACGTTTTGATGCTTCTGCGCAAATTCCCAGGTCAAATGCCACTGTCCAGCTCAAGCACCAACAGCTACATGTGCCGGCTGTAGATACGGGAGGGGCAATCGCGCTAAGATAGGGTCCCATTTGCTTAGAATCGGGTTTGGGGTAGATTGTGTTATGGTGTATGGAGAGGATAAGGGGCGTCGCCATCCGGGGCAGAAGAAACGATGCTACATGTTGTAGCGTCTAGGGTGTAGGGTAAGAGCCAGAATTGCACCATCCATTTTGGGGGGTAGGTAAGTTAAGCATCCTGCTATTTGCGGGGTATATCATTAGTCCCGAATTTTGGCACATACCTAACTCTCTCCCCAAATTACCTGGCTTCTTGCTGGGATATACTAAAGAATTATCATTTCACATACCTTTCGACTTGTAAACTTGGAGTAACAAAAAGTGAAAGACTGATTTTCAGCAATGACCTAGGTGCCCCTTCCGGACCAAGTGGAAGCATGGAAAGAAGCCGCACGCGCAAAGAGCTAAGGCACTAATTCTCAAATTGCTGCGAGTTGTTGACCTCAAGTAAGTACTGCTGAGGAACAGATGAAGCGATCAGCTTTCGTTCATCTTGGGCTCAAAAGTAGAATCAAACGTTTGAACCGTTGCTCAACAATGACGCAGCGTCAGTATGAAGATGACAAACAACATGAACACGCCCGGCCACACCTTGGACTTTTTGGTGCTGGGTTTGGGGTTTAGGATTTTATTGTTTTGGGCAGTTACAGCTGACGGCTCAAACCCTACAAGACCCCAGTGCTACTATATATGTGAAAAGAAGGCTGGTGCTTAGGTACATGGGGTTATGCTGGATTCTCACACAACTCAGAGAAAACAAAACGAACACAACCGCTATGCCGCTGGGCACTGGCATGCAGAGCCCGCGACGAAGTTCAACATTCTTTTTCAATCGTCTGGGCTTACACCAGAACTTCTGTTGTCTCATAATCCCGTGTCCTCCGCATATTTGCCTATCATTTCTATGCATCCCCCCCATTTAGGCATTACAAATCCTGATCAAGGACCGCTAAGACATCTCGTTCCACGAATAATGGCTGGATCTTGATCTGCCCACGCGGGTTCGCCGTGCGGTAGGCAGCAATCTCAAAGACCTCACACTGAAGTTTCTCAAGCAGTATAGCCCTCCATGTAAGAACTAGCACACGACCCTGATTAACATGTTTGAAAAAATCAGAAGCAGCTTGCACAGAAACACCTTGAAGTACATACCGACACAGTTTAGGGTTTTGGGTCTTTGAGCAGCAACTACGCCACTACGCGAAAGACTTCAGTAATTAGACTTGACAGCTGTAGAAACTCCGGGACCAGGAACAAAAGGGCTTTTAGCGCTGCCAGATTGAGCTTATGATGTGAACTAGCTGCGCGCAGGAATTGCCAGCGGCGCGTGAGGGTCCAGGTTAAGCTTATGGGAAGTATCATGCAAACCAGATGCGATGAAGTCAGAATGCACCTTGCACCACAGTTTGGAATGCCTAAGCCCTAACTACCTCAAGGAGGGAGTTTGCGAACATGTCCTGGTTGTTTACAGCACTAGTTGGTAACCCCTATAGTTGGTCCCCTTACACCCCTTGAGGAGTTCAGACTCTAGCTCATGTGTAGCAAACAACCCATGGCTTAGCTTTGCAAAAAATGCTGACACGTTGTAACTAAGGGACATAATGAATAGTGCCCTCTAATAACAATCCCTCTTTCCAAAGTTTAGAGGAAGTCCTTGAAAGTCGAACTAGAAAAGAAGCTCTCTTGTTCCCTCACCATCTGCTGCCAGGATGCGCACCACAAGCGCGAGAGATAGGGCGGACTCCACAGTATCCGCAGTTGACGAGAAACTGCGAGGAACCCACCAATCCCATAGATGCCACGTTCCCGCTTCATTGGATCTACTTGGTTCACGCAAGCTGCATCGTAGAAGCATCTAGACTTGCGGCAAAAGCATGAACCTACATAAGGGGCACCGAAGAGTCCGCAGATAGCAGAAAGGAAAGTTGCGAAAAAGATCCATGGTCCACATGGAATGTCGACTTGGTAGTCATCGATGTTGCTCCGGATCAAGATAAACATGGGCAAGACGTCGAAAATGTACAGAATCATGAGTGGAACGGCCGCCAAAAGCCAGGCTGCCATTGCATAGTGCCAGTACGAACTGAGCAGCATTGAGAGAAACTTCTGATAGCCAGGCGTCACCCATGTGTGTGAAACAAAAACATCGAAGCCTTCGGCTTCTGCAGATGTCTCCCACAAACTGAGCAATTGAGCCTCATCCATCTTCTCCGGCCTCACACGCCAAAGCCACCCGCAGCCCCGCAACGATGAGGCCAGGGATATGGATCGGACGATCTCAGCATCGACATCCAGCTGAGCTCCTTCTTTCAACGCCGCAGACCCAAAGACAGTCCAATCAGGATATGCCGGGATAGACGTAGCGCCATAGTCTGAATTTGAAACTGATGTATCGTAGTCATTAAATTCCGGGACATCGTTGGGTTCGCGCACATCTTCCGCAAAGTAGGCAGGGGCATGGACACCTGCTTGGAGGTTCCATGGGCATCCTGTTTTCCTTCACATCCCAAGATGTGGCTTACTTATGCATTCTTGCTCTCTAGGGGATTTGGCACTGCATTAGAAATCATAATTTCAGCTCCTCATTAGGAGTATAGGCAGCAGAACTTAGCAAATATTTGTCAGGTACCTGTGGACGGGAACATCCTAGAAGTAGCTCGATAAGCCTAAACTTAAAACCCTACCCTCTTGGTAACACTGGGCTCCGTCCATGTAGCTGAGAAGACACACGAGCGCTGAACAAAGAGTCACAAATGGATGCATTGCCAGTTGTTAGAAGGGCGAGAAAGCGTAAGGCAACAATGGTTGTAAGGGGTAAAGCTGCTCCGGACTACTTGTGACCAAACCTAAAAATGCTACTGAGCCTAACCCTACATCCCTCACTGTCGATTCATAGGGGTGCGGGAGGGTGTATAGGGGGGTTGGTCTACCTTAAAGGACTAGACAAAAATCCAACAAGCCCTTTATCCCTCAACTATCCCTGCAAAGGTACCCCTACTCCTCACACCCCTATGATGGATCCCTCAGCCTAAGCCCTGTTCCAAGCACACATGAACCTCCAAGCGGCCCTAGGGAATTATCCCCCGGCTGGTCTTTATGCTCTGCGGCGCAACAGCTACAAGCAGGCTGCCCCATGGCTGCCGAAGTGTAGCGTTCAACCCACGACTCGGGATTTTGAGCACGCAACTTCGGGTGAAAGATATTTCTACACAAGCCCGGTGTAGCTCCTAGTGCCTCAAAAACGAAATTCCAGGCAGATGGTTCTGCACTCGCGTCTGCGCTTGCGCAGAATTTGTGACGATCGCACATGGAACACATGTACACGATCAAAACAAATAGGGTTTTCGTGAAGACCCCTTACGCTACTAGCTACTGCAAGAGCCTCGAGCCTAGCCTTCATGGTCTCCTTTTAGATTTGCATATCCATCCCGTGGTTTTTGAGCTCCGAAGATCCAAAATTCAACGCGTCCTCAACGAGCGCCTTCGAACGTTCCCGTTCATGCACACCCGTCAGGGGCCGCGACATTCGGATTTTTCAAGTGTTTGCTTCAACTCGTAGCAAGACATCCGGCAAAAGCCTCCTGGATAAGCGTCGAAACCTGACACTCCCAACCCTGAACTCTAAACCGTCAAAGCCACAAAGCCTAAACCCCCAACCCTGAAACCTTAAGAAACCATAAACCCTAGCCATATTTGCAAAGAAGCTGCTGCGAGTGATAAGGATAGAGCTCCTCACTGTTGTTATTATCAGTGGTAGAAGGCCCTTCCCCAGTGGGTGGGACCCGCATCTCTAGAGACCCCATTCACGACATACCGACACACCTCAGCATCCTGAATGTCCCTGCAAGCCCATGATGCATAACTTTGAGAACGCTCCAGGTTTCCCAACCGCCTTTGCAGTAGGTCGAGGTCATACTCTCTACTTGGACGCGGCGCCCTCGGAAAAGGCTTTGTTTTCCATCTTCGCATGAATAGAACGTGGGAAGACAAGAGCGGAGCAGTTTGAAGCAGCCAGCTTATGTGTCACCCGATTTTTTTCTCAGGTTTGTGCAAGGACCTGCGCAGGTTCTGTTTGAGGGCCTCAGGGTCAAGGGGAATTGCAGTTTCAAGACAAGATCTAACTGAGTCTAACTTTGCACAGAGTAGCTTTTGAGGCTGAAGTGGTTGAAACTTGAGTGGCAAGGTTGTGGAGGTCAAGGGCTGCTGGGGGCCAAAAAAGGAACATGTTGCTTTGGCTAGAGCCAGCACTCCCCAAAACGGTGATCGACAGGCGAGTTTTTTTGATGGACCTACTAAGGCCAGGATGGTCGAAGGTCCAGGAAAAGCCAATGGATCCTCCCGCCGCTTCACGATCAACACCTGAGCTCCTGAATCCGAAGCCCTGAATTGTGGACCTTGGAGCGCTACACCGCAAACCTTGAAAGCAGCAGCTACCATCAGGGTTGGAAAATTGAGGAGTAGACTTTCAGTTGCTACCCTCATAAGCGCTACCCAAAATAACTTATTGACACATTGTTGATGCCACATCCCGAAAGCAGGATTCTGCAGATGCTGATGTTTCATGTGCGCGCAATTTCTACAAACTTTCCTGCAGAATCCGACCACCCTCTGGCCATGTTCGCAACGTCTTGAACCCAGCTGCCTGGCAGCGCCGAGTAAGCCAGGGGTTGTCCGATGTGGAAACACGGCTGCCTCAGTTGAAGGCTTACGCGGCTAAGGTTTAGGGCTCAGGGTTTAGGCTTTCAGGGCGGAGCTGTTGGCAGGTGCGGCAAGGTGTACAGCGTAGAGTCTGACAAAGAAGACTGCACAACGCAGCAAGGCTGCATATGCCAACCGTGAGCAAGTCTCCCAAATTTCATAAGCCCTAAACTCAACCCTTTATCATCTCAATTTCCCGCCCTCAGCACTTCCCCTTGCCCAAGGAAAAGCCTGAATAAAACACAAATAGGTCTGAATGAAACCTCGTGAGGATCTAAGTCTCGGTGTAGAACCGATGCAGTCCGATGGCTAGTAGATTCGCCGGGAAACCTTCTGCAAAATGGCCACTCCCTGTTTTCAAGGTTTCAGGTTTACATCGAGCGTGGCAAAAAATAGCAGCTGATGTCATTGAGAGTGTCCTGTTGGGCAGCAAGGCGATGAAACCCAAAGCCATATACCTTAAACCCCTACAAACTCCAAGCGCCCTCAAAGCCAATAAGGTGTTTCAGTCCTAAATACACAGGTTCATGGCCCCAGGACCTGCGAAACAACGCTGCCAACCGCAGCTCCTTAGCTTCGTTTGCAGTTCCCATCCCCTAAGGGTCCAAGGAACCAAATAATAGGGTGTTAGCGCCTAAATACCATTAATATTATAGTATTTGGGCCCTCAAGCCCTCTTATCTGGGTCCTTGGACCCAGTTCCCATCCTCAGAAAATCGATGCCCCAAAACATGCACAGCACAATCCAGCCCAGGAATAGCAAGTGACATTACGAGCCACATTTGCCACCAAAATGTTCCAGCTTGCTAAGTGCCCCTAAACCCTCCACCCTAAACCCAAGGCAGACCTGAAATCCCTAAATCTCGCAATGCTCCGAACAACCCCATCCCCCGCGCAGAGCCACGCAACCTAACCCCAAAAGAATTCCAAATACCCAAAGCCACGGTACATAGACTATGAGTATTAGCGTCTGGAAGTTTGAGGTACATCTTAGAACCTACGCCGTAACGTTCTGGTCGCCTCATCTTGTCTTGCAGGGTCAGGGGACTAGGTAAGTAGTTTACTAACCCCTGTAGCACATAAACCTACCTACTAAATCCCTGCTGACCCTCAGTGTAATCTTAGCCAAGGTACGGTCTGTACCGACAGCACAAGAGGCAGGAAGACAAACATCCCCAAGCCGGCATGTCTTCAGCTTCAAGTGAAGTTGGGCGTGCTATGGAGGCGTGCCCGGGGAATAATTGAGGGACTTCTGCATGCATGCATATGCCGCCTGGATAGCAGACTAGGATTCCTAAGATTGGCCGTATCCAAGGAGGACCCACAATTTTGAGCAGCATCCTTATCACCAGCGCAACATACCTACTAATCATCCATGGAAACCGCATTCATTAAATCCCGGTGGAAGTTATACAGGCAACCTAAGTTTTGCAATTATCACTATATAATCCGAATCACCCTAAATCTCCCTTTTTCCCGAATCCATAATAAGGGCCCTACCCTTTGCGGCAAAGGAAACCAAGCCATCGGGCATGGGATCCTGGGTAAAAGGCAAACCCTCCTGAAGCCAAAGCGGAGGACGGACTGCTGATTCTAAGGTTAAGACAATATGGGCCACCTGTACGGGATCTTGATCCTGGGATCTATTATAAAAGCCAGGAATGTCTATAAGACCAGCTTAGGACCTTGGATTGATGAACCTATCTGGGGCTTGGGATTCAGGCGTTCCTAGCATTGCTAAAACCGCTTCTCAGACTATGCTGGATTGCAATGGTAGAACTTCTGTACGGCCTCTACAGGGATTGCAGGGCTCAGCTGGAAGAAAACCACATCTCCTTGATGTGAATCCCTGCACTTCTCTATGTGGATGATCAAAACGAAAACGGGGAATACTTACTTCTGGGCGAAGATGTGCGAGTGGCCAATGCAGTTGGGGCATCCCATATTGTAGCTTCTAGCCTCTCACGCCAGACAATCAGGCTTAGGTGGTGCAGCATGAAAGGCTTCGGGAATTTAAGGCTTCCTGCCAATGGAATCTTGATTGACATGGAACCCCATACCACGGACTCGATATGCAACCGCATTTGGACCCTCTCGTATCCGAGGAAACTTGTTGCCTTAGGACTTATCAACGCTTTCAACCTCACCTCCAGAGCCTTCTAGCCCCCGTCAATAAGATAGAATATGGAGTATGGGGATATTATCATGATATTGGGTAAGTCACTATTGTATGTACTCGAGGGGCCAAGTCCAGAAGTGCCGGATCATAAATCTCTGGGTCACCTGTGTAACAGCCACAAGCTCGATTTTCCTTTGGTTCTTGCCTGGCTCTGTTCCTCTGTACCTGCTCGAAGTATGAGATGCTTTGAACGTTATGTATGTGGGCTTTCAGAGGGATATGTAAGGATATATAGGGGAATGCAGAAGAAAACGGAAACTGCTATTCAGGGCCACATTTAGAGTTGAGGGACTTAACGGCGGTCAGTTGTTGGTCAGGCAGAGTTTTG